CCCCAAAACCCCAAAACCCCATGATACTAGAAGTGGGTTGTTATCAGGTGATATGATAAAATAATTCATAAGATTTACAGAAGTTTAACTATTTTTATATTCTATATTATCCGTTAAATTAAATTAAAAAAGATAATCAATCAAAATGAAAGACTAATCCATCTACAAAAGTTCACAAGAGATTGTTAAATATGATACATTTCAGGATAACCTCATTACTTGTGATACAGAACAAACACCAATAAATAGAAGTGAATAAAAACGAATAATCTTTGCACTAATTATATCTACTTTCTTTGCCTTAGGATAATATGAGTGTATGAGTGCCTTCTTTATACCCTTTAAAGTAAAGAATCATCCTACAATTACTGACTTTTAAGTTGGACTTTTAATGGGGTAAGAATTATTACTCATTTTTATGTAATAGATGCTTTGAGTATGGAAGTTTATTATCATATTTATTTGTACCTTATTTAATGAGAAAAGTTGGAAGAAAAAATACGATATTATTAGCTCTTTCACAAAGCTTTTTAGCTACGATTGGAATAGGCCTTTGCTCCTACATTTAAGATGAGTAAAATATTATAATTTTAAGATTAATTTAGCTTTCTTTTCTACATAACTACGCTACTTTTTAGATTTTATCAGGGATTTGTTGACGGGCACATTTATGTTGCTTGTAAGCTTTATTTTTTTATTAGAGTTGTAACGACAATATTTTAATCCTCGAGCAATTTTATCTTTAATCAACTTTAAATGGAAAATTTATAATAATGTTTTAGGTTATGCTATAGCAGTCTCTGAGTTTAGTTAAAATCGAGGAGAAATTATAGGGAAGTTTGAAGCAGGAATGGGATTTGGTATAATGATGGGAGCCCCTATCGGATAAACTTTTTCAGTTTTTATGAGCTATCCATTTATTTTCTTCGGATTTGGAATGCTTCTTATTTTCTCAATTATTGTAACGATAATTTTGCTACCAAACAGAGTGAATTAAAATTTTGGAGATTAAGATTGTAATGTGGATAATTAAGATGATGTGGTGGATGTCTCTTATTCTCAAATATTAAGAAATAAAACAGTCTTGACTGCTTTGTTCTTTAATTAATTTGGAGTAGTAGTTATGCTATTCAATTCAATGCTAATAACAAATCAATTAGTGGTATTAGGTGTTCCAGACTATTTGACAGGTAATTAATTTATTTAAAAATATTAGGATATATCTTGGGAATTTCTGGGTTATCGTACATTGCTTTTAGCATAATTTCTGGTATTTTGGTTGACAGAATAGAAAGTTATTATTTAGTCTAGGCATCTTTTATAACAAGCGCACTATCTTTATATCTTTAAGGTACTTCTACGATTTTATAGCCTATTCTGTAAATTTATTCCAGCAAAATTATTTTCAAATTATAGAAATTCTCTTACTCGAATGCTTATTGGAATAGTAATAACAGATTCATCTCTTGCACTCATATTCACCTCTTTGCTTGCCAATGTTATAAGGGCAGTTGAATAAAAAGAAAAATTAAAGGAGAATAATGACTAACTTATTGATAAAGCTTCAACAATCTACAATTTAT